GTCGCAACGCTCCTGGCACTTTTGGGAGGCGGCAAATAAGATTTTAAAGAGAGAGTGTTTCGCTTGACTCGTAGTAACCACCAACCCGCATATCCTTCCGTCCCTGTGCTTGGAGGCTCATTTCCGATCCTTCGTTATCATGTAAGTGGGATTATGTTTTTAAACAAGAAATCCATGTTCTATATATTTGTATATAGTTGTTGGTTGAAATTATAATCTAGAAGATTATAAATTCCTTGTGGTCTGATTTATATACATATATTAGTGTGTGTGTATATATATATATATATATATATATATATATATATATATATATATATATATATGAATATTATTTTTGTGATAAAATTGGCTTGTTCATTTTCCTACAAATTATACATGAGGGATAAACCGCACTAGAAAACTACATGCCACAAACTCAATTGAAAAGATGCATGTTAACAAAAATCAAACTTATGACCTTTGGATATGAAAATTATATTCCATTCACTCCACTGTCACTTTCAAAATATATTAAGGGTGTGTTTGGTTCGAACATAGGAATCGAAATGGGAATGAGAATCAAATACATGGTAATTAGAATAGATTTTTGTGAAATTATTTTGCATGTTTAGTAGTAGGGTAGAATTGAAATGAGTACCAATATTTATGTTTGGTTATGTATAATCCTATAATTGGAATAATGGTTTTAAAATACAAAAACAAAAACAAAAACAAAAACAAAACAAAACAAAAAACAAACAAAAAAAAAAAACAAAAACAAAAAACAAGAAACAAGGCAATTGATTTTGAGGGTGTCGACGAAGTAAGTAGGCAATGTAGTGTGGAAGTCGATGAAGTGAGGATGTGATGAAATGAGAAAAGATAAGATTGAATTAATGGAGTTATACGTTATTTAACTTAGGTAATAAATTTTGTAATTATAAGAAAGGAAAATTGCTCTTTACGTCACTAAATTATAAGTTAATTGTAGAATTCATCCATGAGTGTTGGTCATGCTCACTTTTCGTCCCTAAGTTATCATTGGCGTTGCACTTTTTGTCCTTTCGTGCTCACTTTATGTCCTTGAGTTATACTAAAATTGCAAAATTCATTCTATTATTTTATTAGTACGGGGATGAAAAGGACAACGACAATGATAACTTAGGGACTAAAAGTGAATATGACCAACACTCACGGACAAAATCTATAATTACATATAACTTAATAACAAAAAGTATAATTTTCTCTTATAAGAATAATCAAATCTTATACTTGAATTTTATAAAATTATCAATCATGAACCCACACGCACCCTAACTATTTACTTTGACACGATTAGTAATTGTAAGTAGAAAACTATCATTATGATTTATGAATACTCCTCTGTCATTCTCTTTTGCTTTGTGCACAGATGTGCTTCGGCCACGTGCATCAGGTTTCATTTTTCTCTTAGCCGACTGCCCAGACTCTGACCAACAATTTTCCCAATAACATTTTTTATATATTACTTTCTACATTTACTTTTTCATCTTATGTTAAATTAATTCTAAGTTCCCAAAATCATGTTTAAGAGTCATTGAAAAAAGTAAATGAGTCACTCAAGCAACTTCCCAATCAGTTATGTCGTATCTCTACGTACAAAGAATCCATTTTCAAGCCTGTACGAGCTTAGATCAATAGTTTAGTAGACAGTATTTGGGAGAAGATATCAAAGTTTGAATCTCGGTGGTGACAGTTTGAGAATTTTGTCCTAAGTGGACAGATTCCTTGTGCGCACTGGCATTTGACCCTGTCCACTGAACCATTGAGTTACCGTGATTTACATCTTCCCAAATGCTCTGTCAGGCCGGGGTGTGAGGCGCCTTTAGAGTTGGGAATTCAACCTTTTTGGAAGAAGAAGGAATCCATTTTCATACTTTTACAAAGTTAAAGAGCTCAATTTCCAATTTATGGAGTCCAAGTGCTCCAATATTTATTTTATAACGTTCCATATTCAAAACATGAAATATAACTATATAAATTTTAGAAAAATCTAATTTTTTTTTTCTTTGAGGATACGAAATCTAATTTTTATAACAAAATATCTAAATATCATAATAAATTTTAAGTAATTTGAAATTGTGTTATCATCACGAAAACTTACATGAAATAATTAAAGGTAGATGAAAACATTGGGGCCCGAGGTTTGGTGGTCGGGCCGCGTGAAGCTATTGTGGGGTATGAAGGGATTCAGCTTATCCAATTCCAGCTTTTAGGTAAATGATGCAATCACACGTGGACTTCACCAACCAATACCACACACTTGTCTATTTGCTAACATAAAAATCACATGCGTCTCTTAGCTAAACATGGGATATTATATTGTTCCTTTGATATTTTAGGTATGGAATATTTTATTCGATGGTGTAGCAATAAAAATGATAAGTTTTTTTTTTTTTAAATCTAATAATAAATAAGAACATAATAAGTGTGAATGAAAGTTATAATCCTGATTTATGTCTGTTTTTTTCGTTAAGTTTTTTTGTACATTATGCTATAAAGGTTGTACATTAAAATATTTTAGACAAACATACCCCTACCTTTATAACTTCCGTTATCTTTTCCACTATTGTTACCAAGCACATGCATCCACCATATATTTTCTTATCTTCTTCATTAATAATAATATATACACATTAAATATTTGAGTTATATGTTAATCTATCTATACTATATATAATAACAAAATCCTGAAATTTTAACTTCTCGCCCAATTCCTAAAAAATCTCTCTTCCTAATAAAATATGTTGATTTCTACTTTCCCATTCGTACAATAATTCTGCGTTAAAATTCTATTCTAATATTATAAAATAGCGTAATATAATTTCTATTCTAATCAATCAATCTATCTATCTATCTATACTATATAAAATAACAAAATCCTGAAATTTTAACTTCCCGCTCAATTCCTAAAAAATATCTCTTCCTAATAATTATACTAGACTCCACTCCACTTTTCACCGCGTTTTCTTTACTGCAATTTGAAAAATGAAAAATCATGTTTTCTACCAGAAAAATGCATTTTGACTAATTCAATCTTTTTCATTTAGTGAATCCTTTAACTCTGCAACGTTGGAGGAATGATGTTAGAAAGAAAAAAAAATAAATAAGCAAATAAATAAATAAAAAGGATGGCATGTAGTTACTTCTCCCATGTTAGAGGTTATGAGATCGAGTCTCAGTGGAGGCGTTGTTGACTCTGTGTGCTTCATTAGATTGAGAAAGTATGTTTAAATAGATGTCAGACACGTGACTCTATGTGCTTCATTAGGTTGAGAAAGTATGTTGCGAGGAAAGACACATTTTCCTTTGGCAATAGAGTATGAGGGATATGGTTGTGTTGAAGGGACTCAAACATTTTCGTTTGGCAATAGAGTATGAGAGATGTGGTTGTGTAGAAGGGACTCATTCATCCTTGACTTGCTTGGTATACCCAAAAAAACAAAGAAACAAATTACAATAATTAAATATAACATTTTCAAACAAAATAACAATGAAAATCCTGGATATACCTAAAAAAAAAAATAAAATACATTACAATAGTTAAATACTTGGGTGACAATCATCAGTTGTTATGCATTAATCTTGCCAAACAAGAGACCCAAATTATGGGACAACTTTAATTAAGTTCGTCAATCCACTCCTATGAAAGTTGTCTATTCAGATTCCATATTGAATTTTTAAAGAAACAATTAATATTATTTAAAATATATAATAATAGATTGGAAAAAAAAAAGTACTACGGAGTATAATAATACTTCAAAAGTACATAAGCTATTCATCCTGCAGTTAATGCAACTGTACGGTAAGAAAATAACAACATATTATGTTGATATTTTTTGGTCAATCTATTAAAATAATTTAAACATTGGTAACAAATGCGCAGTATTAATTTACCTACTCTATAGTCTGTACAATAAGGAGCATTGGATGAAAAATATTTTCTAAGAAAGTTAATTTCCTAAATTTTGAAGAAAATGCTATTTTCTATTGTTTGGTACTTCGGTTCATAAAATTCACTTTTCAAAGAAGCATAATTCCTCAAATTTAAGGAATTTTTTTGTTTTTTTTTTGAAGACAGGAAAAAGTTTTCTTTGTCAAATATTGGTATTTTATTTTTCATGAAAAAGGTTTTCATTGTTCATTTGGTACGATTAGTAGAACAATTTTGTCATCATAAAACTTTCTTACGATTCTTTAACTTTTGAAAAGTACAATTAATTATTTCAACTTATTAAATCAGTCAAATAAGTTCTAACTACCGATAACCAACAGGTTACTAGTAGGCATATCGCCGTTTGCCGTTGATTGCCTTCTCTAACGAGATAAGACGACCAATTGGACGCCGTCCTCAAAGAAGGCGACAAGTGACTGTTCGTCGATCGCATGTCACTGATTTTTTTTCGGAGATAGTTGGAATATTGTCGAATTCATAAGGATTTGCTATTACAGGTCACTAACCTGTTTTGGGTTTTGATGCACTCAAATGGCATGTTAGTGTGCTTAATTACACTTTTAAAAGTTCAGGGGTTAATTTCACTTTTTATGTAAAATTCGAAGGTGTATTTAACCCTTTTCCCAAATTAATATTTTCAAAAGTTTTTGGCTTGACTTCTAATACATGGATTCTCAATCTCTACTCCTCCACTTTTACTTCGAGACATGATAAGAGATGATAAGTTATTTTTATTTTACAATTTTTAAAGAAATATGTCAACATTAAAATTTTAAATGAGAAAGTAAAAGTATTGAGTAAAATAAATATTACTCCATATTTCCTAGAGACAAAGACGGTGGTCACACTCACTAAGACTTTCTGTGTTCAACTCTTTTCCCATTCTCCATTTACTTCCCTCGTTTTCTACACAGTTAAAAATCAAGATTTTTGTTTGATTTCCCACGTTGTTTGTCATTTTCATTAATCAAATCCTTCATTTTACACCACAGGGTTCCACTACTTACTTCAAAACTGCATTATTTAATCGTTCATTCCACCTTAATCATGATTTTCATGGTTGTCTCCAAACTCCATGCCAAAACTGTACCTTTCTTTCCTGTGTCTTTGCCAAACTCCATTCTCTGCAAACTAGCACCTACATTTAGTTGTCTTCCAAGGGGTGAAGAAACCCAAGAAATTCCTTGTTTGAGAACATATCAAAGCGAATCTTGATTATTAATATACTATTCTTGGGGGATTTTATAGTTGGCTCTGCATTTGCAGTCAGATTTTGATTATTTCTGGGGATTTCATAATCTGGGGGATCTATATATACAGTCAGCTTTTGATTTCACTAGATTGAGAGACTTAGATAATTATTGGGTTGTTTGGTTACAAGAAAATGTTGCCAGTTTCTAGGTTAGTTGGTTCAGAGACGATGACTTCTACAATGTTTTCAAGCTTCTGTTTGGAATCTAAAGTAATTGGTGGTTCCAGAGTTAGTCCCAAGTTTTGTTCTTGGAGAGGTAATATTCTGGTTATTTGCCACTATTCAATCCATTTTTGCTGCAGATTTACATGGCTATGGTTAACTTTTAATGATTTTCTGTGAAATTTCTGGCAAAGAAAATATTGGGATTTCTTCATTTTTCTCTGTATCAGAAAATTGGTACTAATATATGGCATCTTTGATGCTATTGGTTTTGTTTTATTGTATTTTTAAACATATATTCTCCTAGAAAGTAGGACATGTAAAGTAGAGTATGGCCAAGCTCATTGCTGAAGTGCTCTCATAGCTTTGCTAATTTTTGAAACTTTATTTGCTTTTCTCTAATCTTGCCAAAGTTGATTCATTTCTGATATGTTTGCATTCTTGCATCTGAAAGTACTGTGAGTTTTTCTATTGATTTCTAAAGTGTTAAAGATGGTAATTGATGTATAAGAAGCTATGAATAGCCAGCCAGGGGCTTGCCTAATGTAGAGAGGACAACAAGTTTCTCTCGATCTCTATGGTTCTTATAATATGATAGAAATTTCGAATATGCGTTAGGTTTTCTCATTTTTGTGCATATTTTTGTGGAGGCTTAGTTAATCCGAGTATTCCAAAGCTATAACTTGTATTGTTTTACCCGACATTATTGTTTCTTTTCCAGGCATTTATTTGAAGGCTTCTTATTCAAAGACTTCCCATGATGCAATTAGTGCAGTTGCAGAGGAAAAATTCTTAGTTGAAGCTTTTCCTTATCATATCAATGGAAGAAACGGTTCGAGTTTGTACCTTAGGGAAACTAGAGTCCTTGATGCCTCTGATGATGAGTATGGTGGAGTAGTTGTTAATCCAGGAAAGCTACCTTCCAACCCAAATACGTTTACCTCTATGCTTCGTGCATCTCTCTCGCACTGGAAACTAAAGGTATTTTTATTAATTAGGCCTTCTTTTAACCCAAATTACTTGTATCTTTAGAATTAGTAGATGGAAGTTGTTTATTCTGAGCAGTGCTAATTAAAATATAGGGAAAGCAGGGTGTTTGGCTTAAGCTTCCAATAGAAAAATCGGACTTGGTCCCTGTGGCTGTGAAGGTATACTTCAAGATGGTTTATTAGCTTTTTCGGTGTCTGATCTGTCGATATTGTTTGATGGTTTGAAATTTATTTCTTTTCAGGAAGGATTTGAATACCATCATGCGGAAAAAGGGTATGTGATGATGACTTACTGGATTCCCCAAGGGCCTTCCATGCTTCCTTCTAATGCTTCTCACCAAGTTGGAGTAGGGGGTTTTGTGATCAATGACAAGAACGAGGTATGTGAAATTTCGAGAGAATGACACTAATTGATTGATGATAAGGGCGATGATCTTTCTCCACAATATTTATGTAGCTTTCCTCGGTGACTGTTTTAAAACCGTTTTGCTTCAATTCTTGATATATTACATGGTTTCTTTGGCCTTCTTAGTTGTGCGTCTAGATGCCTTGCTGCCGTGTAAAATTTAACTTGATTGATGTTGAAATGCGAGGAATTGTCCTAGCAATACTTGCTTAGTTATAAGTGTTGAGCATATAACCATTAATGTGCAATCCAACTATAAGCTTAGCCTTTTAGTTGAGATGGAGCACATGCTTCAATTTGGTATCAGAGCCATGCCAAAGGTCATGGGTTCAAAATCTTAACGCCACCCCATAAAAAGAAAGAGACTACGGTCCATGTGTTGTTTGGAGCCAATCAAAACTTGCACACGTGTTGAGCATATAGCCATTAATGTGCAATCTAACTATAAGTTTAGGCTTTTAGTTGAGATGGAACACATGCTTCAATTATAAGAGATGAAATTTTCCCAGTGTTAGAATCCCTTCCGATCCATAGAAATGGACTAATACATCCAATGGCTCGCCCATTCAGGTGCTTGTTGTTCAAGAAAAACATTGTGCTCCAGAGCTTTTTGGTCTTTGGAAAATACCAACTGGTTTCATTCTTGAGGTATGGTTTATTTCCTTGAAATTCGTTTTTTTTTTTTTTTAAATCTGAAGTCTCTTCTCTGTGAAGAGGACATTGGAACATGGAAACAAAAGATCTTATTTGGTTTTTATATGTGTTGGATAATCAGTCCGAGGAGATCTATACTGGAGTTGTGAGAGAAATAAAGGAGGAAACAGGAGTAAGAAATCACGTCTTATTTAGATAATTACTTTTAAAGAAATTTCAATTCACAAAAGCAGTCGAGAATCAGTCACTATACTCATCATAGTTCTGCATTTTTCGGTTTTCCAGATTGACACTGAATTCGTTGAAGTTATAGCCTTCAGGTAAATATAACTCCGACCCGCTTTTTTCACAACCTTGAATTATATATATCTCGGTGAATCTATACTAGGCTGTTAATTAATACGTTTTACCCATCTCAGTTGGCAACTAATTAACTCTAAATTTGTCATCAAGACCATATATCTGTTCTGTTGCTAAGATGTGCAAAGTGTGTGGTTTGTATTCCTGCAGGCATGCTCATAATGTGGCGTTTCAGAAGTCTGATTTGTTCTTTGTCTGTATGTTAAGACCCGTATCGAAACAGATCATGGTAGATGATCTCGAAATTCAAGCAGCAAAGGTACGAAACGAATTCATTCTTAGTAGTAACTAGGCGAGCCTGCCAAGGACCTTGTGGTCTAGTAGCACCAAGTTTCTCTCTCATATGGGAGGTTGTGGGTTAAGTCTCAGTGGATGCAGTATTGACTCTTTGTGCTTCAGTACGTTGAGAGAGTAGTTATGAACAGATACTGCATATACTGCATTGTAACAGAGTCAGTAGTACTCAAAAACCAGGCGAGCCTCATTTAGCCTGGCCTGCTGCATTGTAACAGAGTCAGTAGTACTCAAAAACCAGGCGAGCCTCATTTAGCCTGGTCTGCTGCATTGTAACAGAGTCAGTAGTACTCAAAAACCAGGCGAGCCTCATTTAGCCTGGCCTGCTGCATTGTAACAGAGTCAGTAGTACTCAAAAACCAGGCGAGCCTCATTTAGCCTGGCCTGCTGCATTGTAACAGAGTCAGTAGTACTCAAAAACCAGGCGATCCTCATTTAGCGTGGCCTGTTGAATCAAGAACTACATTAGACGAGAGAGAGATAGATACTGCATTGTAACAGAGTCAATAGTACTCAAAAACCAGGCGAGCCTCATTTAGCCCGGCCTGCTGAATCAAGAACTACATTAGACGAGAGAGAGATAGATACTGCATTGTAACAGAGTCAGTAGTACTCAAAAACCAGGCGAGCCTCATTTAGCCCGGCCTGCTGAATCAAGAACTACATTAGTCGAGAGAGATAGATACGTATATATGAATGAATGATTGCACGTCTTATTATATATTTCAGTGGATGCCTTTAGCGGAGTTCGTGGAGCAGCCCCTCATACAATCAGACAGCATGTTCAAGAAAATCATCGACATCTGCCTTGCCCGTCTGAGGAAGCGTTACTGTGGACTGTCTGTCCACCAACTCGTGTCGAAATTCGATGGCAGACTATCCTCCTTGTACTTCAACACAGTCGAGGATCCAGATTCAAACTGCCAGGCTAATTGACACTTGCGCCAGCCTCATCGATCTAGCTCCATTCACAATATAATGCTCTGATCTGCATATATAATTCGATCTTCATTATGTTGCCTCCTCGCCCTCGACTCTTCTTGATGATGAAGGTGCGCAGATCAGAATTGAGTTGAACTAGACTGTTAGTATAACTGGCCCTGGCCGGGTCACATCTTTCTGCATGTATTTTAGTGTATGTATATATTCATCTATGTTGATATATAATATAGCTATCGCCTATCAGGATATATTCTTGTACATAAGTGGAGAATTTGCAGTCTAATTTAACTTCCACAATACAACTACTTTACCTTTATTCATTATTTACACTATTTACAATTTGTTACCCAACAGGGTTATGCTAATTTCCCATTTTCCCACAAGTTATTAACAAGCAATCCAAAAGAAATAACAGAATCTAATTTTCAAAAACTAATTCTACTCAACTCCAAACAACGTGCAATATTAAATTGCTCGAGTCATATGAAAAAGAAGCTGGGCTAAAGTAGTAGTGTTAATGGTTCCCACATCGGACAAACAACATAAACACTAAGTAGTCAGGCTCCTTATAAACAGATGCCACAACAACGCTTTACTCAAGCAGCCATGCAGTGAACACAAAGCGAATTATTCTTTCGCCTTTTACTAAAGAATACCGTGTGTGCATTGCAATGAATGGCATACTCTAATTTTTTGAGGGTGTTTCTCCTTACGGAGAAGCCCCAACAAATTTAAAGTTTTAATGATTTGAAGATAAATGAAACTTTTTTTTCTTGAGTTATATATTTATAATATTTTTTCACCTTGAATTATTAAGTGGCTATTTCTTAAAATGTTAAATGGATATATTTATTTTTAAAATAAATATTTTATTTATTTTTATTCTCCAACAAATTATGACCCCAATTTGATTTAAATCGAACAGATATTATAATAACCAAATGAAATATTTTAATTACAATTTAGAATCGAAACTTGATATTTAGAGTTTATTAAAATCGCAAACCGGAAATGAAATATTCTAATTATAATTTAGAATTTAAATTTGATATTTAGAGTTTATTAAAATCGCAAATCGGAAATAAAATATTCTAATTATAATTTAGAATCGAAACTTGATATTTAGAGTTTATTAAAATCGTAAATCGGAATAATCGGTTCATGTTGCGAACCAAAAAAAATAAAACATATTTATTATTGAATTTTATACTATTTTAAAATAAAAAATAAAATTTTAAAATAAAGACGATTCAAAATAGTAAACTGGATCCAGAACCCCGGTTCACGGTTCAAGATCCAGTTTTTTCGATTCATAATTTTAATAAACTAAAATTTAAATATTAGGTTCTAGATCTGAATTATAACCAAAAATTTTCAATTCGATTGCCATAGTGTCCAGTTCAGTTCGAACTGAACAGTAGTCATCCCAACGTATAAGCAATAATTTGTTGGAGATGAAAAATAAATAAAATGTTTACTTTAAGGGTAGAAGTGTCAATTTAATATATCAAGAGGAAAACAACCACTTTTATAATAATTGAGGGGATTAATATGCTTACATTAATATTGAGGGGAAAAATGTGTCATTAACATATAATTCAGGGGGGAAAATTACCATTTCCCATGATTTAATTAATAATAATAATTAATGGTTTAATTTTAATTTCAATTTCAATGTTTCCTAGTTTGCGAAGTGGAAATTGTTGCTTAATTTTCTAGTCAATTCTAAATACATCTTTGATTTGATGTGTTTAATTGTGGATATGTTTTATATAAGGGAGCTTAAGGAGAAAGGCGTATTGAAATATAATGAACACAGTGCGAAAAAACACGTTAGCAGTCCCACATCGAACAAACAACAGAAACATTAGTGGCCAGGTCTCCTATAAATCCAAGTACAGAATCACACGACAAACTCAAGCAGCCATGTGATGAGCACAAAGCGAACTATTCTTTCGCCTTTTACTAAAGAATACCGTGTGTTCATTACAATAAATGGCATACTCCAATTTTTAAAGGGTATTTACTCTTAAAAACCCAGCAATCCTAGTTTAATGAAATTTTTTTTTTGGTTGATCAGTTCTATATTTCAGCTCTCTTATAGACAAGTTCTCTATTCATTCCTACTTTTTAACTAGTAATTGTGTTTTGTGTATAATATTCTATGGTCCATTTAATTTACTGCCTGTACATATTGCTCAATCTAGTTTTTACACTACCGTGTGTGGAGAAGAGCTTTTTTTATGACTGAATTTCCCAGCTCCTCCAAGAAAGCATTGAACAGTTGCTTTTCCTTTTTCTTGTGATCTATAAAAAGATTAGCAGGCAAGAGAAGTTCTGAACAAGTGTTGGAACTTTCAGAGTTACTAAAATTGATTTGTAGCTCTGAAGTTTATAAAGCTTTCAGTTATCATTTTGTACTTGTAGTATTGTAATGGAACTTTCAGAGTTACTAAAATTTCTTTTCTACAGGCCGGCACAGAGATGTGCTCTCTTCATTATCATTACTAGGTAGCTGCAATTGTGATTCAGACATATATCATTTGTAGTTGTTGAGGGAAAGGCGAATTAAAGATGCAAAACTTTTCTAGTTATCTATAAATTTTGTTGATTCCTTGACAACATTTGTGTTAGTGTTTTTTTTTTTTTTTTTTTTTTTTTGTTTTTTTTTTTGTTTTTTTTTTTTTTTTTTTTTTTTTTGCAGTTTGATGAAATGAGAAGAAGTGGTTGGTAGTTTGTGAGAATAATAGTTCTAGGAATGATATTATTATTGATCAATCTATAATAATGTAAAGTACAAGATGAAGAGATATATTTAAAAGGATACAAATTAAAGGGTTTAATCATGACAAGAATGGTAAATGGTGATATTCCTAATAATATATGGAGATGGAGAATGAACTCTATTGTGCCTAAAATACAGAGTTCTAATACGTTCCTCAAGCTTAAGGTTCACTAGAGAGAACATTGAGCTTGTCCCTTAAATCATTTAGCCTTGTTGTGGTTAGTGACTTGGTGAAGATGCTTGCCAATTAGTCTTGTTGTAGAAATGTAGTTTCCTTGTAGTTCCTTTGATGCTACTCTGTCACGAAAAAAATTAAAAAATCCCGATGGACCAAACTTTCGGCTATAGGATCGGCTATGACGGAACATGCTTCCGGAGCACAACTACAACGGAGCATTGATCCGGAGCGCAACTACAACGGAACACTCATCCGGAGCACAACTACAACAGAACACTCATTGATCCGGAGCGCAACTACAACGGAACACTCATCCGGAGCACAACTACAACAGAACACTCATCCAGAGCGCAACTACAATGAAACACTCATCCGATGCGCGGTTGCAACAGGACACTCATTTGAAGCCTTAATAAATGAAGTCGGACACAAAAACATTTCTTCAACGTATCCACTGGGATTTTGACCACAGGGAAAGGGAACAAGTTGAGTGTTCGAATACAGATAGTTTGTGAAAGTATATTTAATGGAGATAAAGTGATGAGTTGTTTGTAGGGTACTTATCGGGACTGTGGTTGGATAGACAATATCGAAGATGTTACGAGAATAGGAGGTGGTGCCACCGACCAGCGACGAAGCGACGACAGAGGGGGGGGGGGGGGTGGTGGTTATTGGTGGTGGTTGTGAGTTTTTTTTGGTAGGGTTTTTAGCCATGTATTATTTGGTCTTCTGGTACCATATGAGAACTGTTAGACATTATATGGTAGAAGTATATTTGATATGGTCTCAGTGATTGTGTGTATAATATCTTAGGGATATTGTGTATAATATCTTAGGGATATTATTGATTCTTACCATAGTTAGTGTGCATAGCCTTGTATAAATATATGTATCATCTTGACTCAATGATATGAAATATACAGTATTGAACATGGTATCAAGAGCCACGTAGAAGGAAAAAAAAAACACATAAACATTTTTTTCCCTCTTTCTGCTTCTGCTCACGGTGGAGTTTGGGTCGGGATTGTCGCCGGGCGTTTATCGTCACCACCATTAGGAGCAGGGTCGCCGGTCGCCGATCAGCCGGACTGCCAACTCCGACGCCGTTTTGCTCGGCGAGTGTTCCCCACGCGCCGGAAACATCTCTCGCCGGAGTCCCACGCGCCGGCGCGTGAGCACTCCTCCGCCGCCGGAATCCACTTCCGATTGCTTTCCTGGGGTCGCCTGGTCATCCTCAACACTGCTGTAGGCTCGGTTTTGGCTTTGGAGATCTCGGTAATATCTTTCTATAATCTCTTTTGGTCAACAATATTAATGTACTGCCTTCACTGCTAGTTGTTTGGTTTGTGTGGCTTTGGAGCCTGCCTGCAGTTTGTTTGGTTTTGTAGTTTGGTGATGCGTAGTATATTTGCAAACAAATAATTCTCGGAGTACGAGTTATCGATCCACAGGGAAGTGGTTGTATCAAGCACTAGTTACTAACTTATTCATTAGAGCTAATCCTAACAATTACTTAGATGATTGATTGACATAAAATAAATAAAATAAAACAGAGGTTCAGGATTTTGAAAACAATTAGAGAGAAGTTGAGATTCATGGGATTCAAGTATTTAATCACCTAGTGCCAATTATCATTTGCAATATTTAGTTTGGAATTAAGATTTGTGTGGGAATGCAAAGTGGAATCGAATTACTCCCGTAATCTCTATTCCTAGTGAATTTCCACTCCCATGGCTTAAACACCCAATAAGATCAAAGATCAGCATTCAATTATTCCTAATTACTACCATCTCCCGATTGGCAACAATCTAGAATAAACTTCCCCTAATAAGTTCCCCTTTCCCAAGGACCAACCATTAGGTGCAATCGTGTGTGCCCTAATTTATGCCCCAACTCCCATTGGTGACACAAACATGGCTATGAAGCTAGTAACTATGGCCATTAATTACAAGCATCAAACAATATTATCACGATTGCAACACAAGTATTAAACCCAAATAATAATATATTAAAGAAACTGAGAGCTCAGACACATAGGTTCATAAACACTTTTACCCAAGAATCTCTAAAGAATTTAGCCAAGCATGACTAAATGATACATAGCAAATATAAATAAAGAATTACAAATCATCAAAAGAGTACAAGAATTAACCAGACGATTTTCCCAAATCTCCCTAGTCTTCTTCTTGCTTTCCAAGACAACTTGTGGCTCTTGATTTCTCTCCTTCTTGTCTCCAAGAATCTCTGAATTCTCTCGGTCCCCGTCCTCCCATTAGGGTTGAGGGAGGAGGGATTTTATAGTGGGTACAAAGTTGAG